TTGACATTTTTGAGGTTATACGTACTCAGAACGTTTTGACATATGAGCGCTATTTGTGTTGTTTACACTAACTTAAACGATTTAGGTCGGTCAAAAATGGAATTAAATCGTGAACATTTTCGTGCGATTATTTTTTACAACTTAATTCAATTTTTGGCGATGAAGCTCCATCAAGGACCAGTGTTTATCGATGGTATGGTGAATTCAACCGAGGTCGTAGTTCACTCCAAGACGAATTTCGTGGAGGTCGTCCAAAATCAGTTGTTGTTCCGGAAACCATTGATGCTGTGCGCAAACTAATATTGCAAGATCGTCATGTGACCTATCGTGAGATTGAGACAACCTTAGGCATTAGTGGGACCAGCATATATTCAATATTGCATGAACATTTGACTGTCAAAAAATTTGTTCGCGTTGGATCCCAACCGCCGAAGACGGATCACTCTTCACCACGACAATGCGAGCTCTCACACATCGGCTCAAACAACTGCATTTTTGAGCACTCAAAACATCGATTTGATGAGTCATCCGCCATATAGTCCTGACTTGGCACCGAATGACTTCTTTTTATTCCGTAAAAAATAAAATGAGAGGTCAACGTTTTTCGACACCTGAAGAAGCGGTTGATGCGTTCAGAATGCATGTTTTGGAGATACCTCAATCAGAGTGGCAAAAGTGCTTCGACAATTGGTTCAAACGCATGCAAAAGTGTATAGATCTTAATGGGGAATATTTTGAAAAACAATAAAGCGATTTTCAATGATTAATATTTTTTTCTCTAATCCCGAAATATAAAAGGCAAGCTACGTAGCCTCTCACTTTCAAACCACAAAAGAGGTAGTTCCTCTCAGGAGCAGCGTCGTTGGAAGAATTCCAGCGGGTGGGGGTCGTGCTTAGTCTGTGGAGGAGGCGTACTTGGTCTTGAGAGAATTTTTTCCAAGCGGCGAGGGAATTTTTTTCCGGTTGTTGATCATTCCCATTTAACGCGCGCATACCTCCTGGCATCGTTGCAAAACTGTACGTAGGTTGCCTTTTATATTTCGGGATTAGAGAACAAAAATAAATATTAATCATTGAAAATCGCTTTATTGTTTTTCAAAATATTCCCCATTAAGATCTATACACTTTTGCATGCGTTTGAACCAATTGTCGAAGCACTTTTGCCACTCTGATTGAGGTATCTCCAAAACATGCATTCTGAACGCATCAACCGCTTCTTCAGGTGTCGAAAAACGTTGACCTCTCATTTTATTTTTTACGGAATAAAAAGAAGTCATTCGGTGCCAAGTCAGGACTATATGGCGGATGACTCATCAAATCGATGTTTTGAGTGCTCAAAAATGCAGTTGTTTGAGCCGATGTGTGAGAGCTCGCATTGTCGTGGTGAAGAGTGATCGGCGGTTGGGATCCAACGCGAACAAATTTTTTTGACAGTCAAATGTTCATGCAATATTGAATATATGCTGGTCCCACTAATGCCTAAGGTTGTCTCAATCTCACGATAGGTCACATGACGATCTTGCAATATTAGTTTGCGCACAGCATCAATGGTTTCCGGAACAACAACTGATTTTGGACGACCTCCACGAAATTCGTCTTGGAGAGAACTACGACCGAGGCATGAATTCTGTACACCTTAAATCGGGATAAAACTGGGTCGTTGATCGAGCTAAAATTGAAATCAGATTGTGAAAAGTTGCAAAAATTAATCGCGACGAAATCGCTATCAGCTATGTTAATTTCCCATTTTTGAGGCGATCGTAAATCGGTTCAAGTTATGTGTAAACAACACAAATTCGCCTCTATGTAAAAGTTCTGAGACGTATAAACCTCAAAAATGAACTTTACGATAGAGCTGTATTTCGCAGACTGCAACACTAGGGTGCCCCATCCCGAAATATTAGGTTGGCCGGAAAGTTCTCAGCGTTTTGTGCACCTATTTTTTGTACATTCACTGCTGATAACTCGATTCTGCCTTGTTTCCGTACCAGATTTACTCCTGTAGCAGAATTTCTTCGCGCTCTATGTTTATAAATGCGCTTCACCATTGGCTTGATAACCCCCTCGTTTCAAGATATTTCAAGCTATGTGAAAAGCAGCACTTCGGATCGGATTTTCTTTGCTTCGACTATAAATTGGGGCAATCCGCAATCGAAACAGCTCAACAAATTAACCAGGTGTGGGGGCCCAATAGTGTTGGAGAAAGCACTGTGCGGCAATGGCTCAACAAATTTCGTTCTGGAGATTTCAGCCTTGAATATGAACCCCATTTAGGGGGATTTCGGAGGCTGACCATCCAAACGTTCAAGAGATTAGCAGAAGAGTTGCCTTGGCAATTCATCTTTCTGTTGCAGATGGTCTGGAACGCACTGGGAAAGTGAAAAAACTCGACAATTAGGGTGCCCCACAATCGGAGTGACCGGCAGGAATCGGCATGTCTCGAGGTGCCTTCAGCATTGCTTTTGCGCGCAGGAAACGAACCTTGTTTTTGGGACCGACATGTCACGCACCTGTGAAAAATGGGTCATGTATGATAAAAGGAGACGTTCAGTGGTTGGATTTCGACGAACCACCGAGGTAATTTTCAAAGCCGAACCCTCACGAAAAAAAAGATTCTGGTCACGGCTTGGTGGTCATCGGCTGGTGTGATCCACTATAACTTTTTATCACCAGGCCAAACCATCACAGCAGAACCCTACTGTGAAGGAATCGACGAAATGTACCGAAAATTTTGTCAGATGCAGCCAACACTTATCAAAAGAAAGGGTCCGATTCTTTGCATGACAACGCCCGCCCACACGTTTCACAAATCACTATCCATAAATTGAACGAATTGGGGTTGAAGTTCTACCTCAACCGCCATATTCTTCAGACCTTTCGCCAACCGACTATCACCTTTTCTAACATTTTCAGAACTCCCTTGCTGGAAAATATAGGTTGGAAAGAAAGTCCTGTCACTGTTGTGATTTTTTCTTTTTTATTTTCTAACTCAACATGAAATAAAAACTAATCAATAATATAATCGCCATTGTTAGCCACTACAGTGCTCCACCTAATGGCGCACTCACTATCCACTGCTTCTCGCAGAACTGAGGAGGCTGCGAGTCGAAGAAGTAGGCAACTTCTCGATTGATGCCATCAAATTCGCTGAAGGTTTTCTTACCTAGGAAAGCCTTGAGGGAGCGGAACAAGTAGTAGTCGGAGGGGGCTAGGTCTGGAGAATATGGTGGATGGGGAACGGTCTCCCAGCCTAGCTCCTCAATTTGGCGGTGGGTCTCTTTAGCCACATGTGGTCTGGCGTTATCATGGAGGAGGTGCACCGAAGCTCGTCTCGGCCGCTTTTCTCGAAGAGCTTGCGCGAGTTTCTGGAGTTGGCGGCGTAAACGGTAGCGGTAAACCGTATGCCCTTGCGGAAGCAGCTCGTGGTGCAGCATGCCCTTCGAATCCCAGAAGCAGCAGAGGAGGACCTTCTTGGAGTGCAGGTTCGATCTGGGTTGCGTAGGCGGGTCTTCTCCTCGAGGGAGCCACATGGCACGACGTAGGTGGATCATAGAGGACCAGCTTTACTCATTCAGCCATAATTATCGCATGAAACTCCTCCTTCGGTTACGGTGTAGAAGGAGGGATCGACAGATGCTCACCTGGCATACCGCGTGCCATCTGTTAGAGCATGAGGTATCCATCGCGTGAGGACTTTTCTGTAGCCAAGGGCCTGAAGGCGGTTTAGAGCTGTTGTATGGCTACACCCTAGCCTTGTCGCAATACTGCGCGTGGTAGCCTCTGGATCTCTC